TCACATGAGCCAAGCTTACACACTGTATTAATAATATTCCTTAATAGCTAGTTGTTTTAGCTCTTCAGGGTTAATCGGTATAAAAATTAATAATATATTTTGGTATGTAAATTAAGCAGATGTGAATCAAAATCCACACAGGAGCAAGTCTGTTGAGTAAGAAGAAAAAAGATTGCCCCTCACATATGACAGCATTTAATATTATTTTCACTTCAAGTTATAACTGTACTGCTTGGGTCTAAACAAGAAGTTTTCTTCTTTAAACTATTTAGTTTATTCAAGGCTATTTTCGTTGTGCTTTGTGAAATTTTTGTCTTTTACAGTTAAATTCCTGAACATCAGTATTAGGAAGTACTCTCAGGAAGATGGCATTACAGAATTCTCAGTCTCAATATAATGTATCTATTTTTTTGCATTAATCTAAAATTAATAGGACAACAAAAGTTAAGAGTATGTGTCATTATGCATTTTGGTAATGCTGGTGTAGTTGGTTATAGTATAGTGTATTACAATATTAGCCTTTGGGATTCTGCTTATTTGGTATAATATTCTCATTCTGTTATAACTCAGGTGCTAAGAACTTGATTTATGCTCACAATTAGCACAGCGTAGTACAAAATCATTGTATTTAGGTGTTTAAAAGCTTGTTGAAGAATGATAGAATTATGGGAGATTCCCCCACCTGGAAGTCCTGAAGATTACTATCAGAGTTTCTCCTCTGTCTGTACTCCCGCTTACTAAATCTTATATCATAATTAAAAAAACTAAACAAGTTTCATTTGGAAAATAAGATGCATCCTGTTAAGTACAATTATATATCATTTAAAAAAATTATAAGAAGCTGTCCTCATTTCTTTGGCATGTCATTGAGACAACTTTAGTTCTAAATGATTCCTGTTTGTTTTTTCTTCCTCTTGCATATGGTATTAGAATAGAATAGCCTATTTCATCTAATTGAATTGCACAACATCCTTTAGTTTAGTGTGTAATAATAGGGTTTACTTAAAAACTCTTTGCCCTAGGGAGCTAGGTACATGATGTTCCTTATATTTTACTGTGTTGATCCTTTGGATTGAGCCCAAATCTCTGAGGCCTGGTTTGTTCCTGGAAAAGAATCCACGTATCTTTGGCTTTGCTGTGCTGTCTCTTGGCAAAAATTCTCAGCAGTTCAATATACTCTATGCTGTCATCTTCATTCTCTAGTTGTTTTTCAGAGGTGCTGTATGTATGTATTTCCTGAATCACTTTGGGCCCCTTCAGGGCTGGCAATCAAAATAGGCCCAGGAAATGGGTTGAGAACAGTCCTCCCCATGACATCACCCCTGCATGCCCCTCCCCCTTTCCCTGCATCCAGGGCCGGCCCTAGGTTTTTTGCGGCCCCAAGCCAAAAATTTTTTGGCTGCCCCTTCCCCCTTCTTTGTCCGTGGAGGGTGCGCATGCAAATGCAGCTTGCGTAGCTTACTGGAGGTGCGTGCACAAATGCAGCTTGTGCAGCTTCCTCGGGGGTGGGGCATGCGCTCTGGGGGGAGTCCAAACCCCCGGGCATTTTCATCTCCTAGGAGAGCGCCAGGGACTCCCCACGTGAGGACAATGGGAGGGCAGGTTCATCCACAGCAAGTCAGTTAAAGACTTCCAAAGCATGCAGCTGTCCACATCACCTAGTGCTGGAGTCCCGGTCCCACTCCTCACTCTGCAAAGGGATTTTATTATTAGAAGCCTTATAATCATTCAGACTCCAACCTCAACACATAAGCTGTCCAACTCTTGGTGTCCATGGACAACAATAGCCTCACTATACAATGAGACAGTTCAAGGGGATTAAGAGAACTTTGGTTTCAGCTCCCCAGCTCAACTGTCCAGAACAAGATAGGCACCAGACAACAAAATCCCACTAGCCTAGGACCTATTCTATGAGCGCTGCCCTGTGCTTTCTCGTTCAGGGACGGACCAAACAGCCTCTGGAGCAGGGTGGATTGATTTAAATAGCTTTGATTTAAATCTCTAATTTTAATCATGATTTAAACCGGCAAGCAGAAAACCTTGGTTTAAATGAGCAATTAATCATTTAAATTATACTTTTAAAATATTTTCCTAAAGGATGGTTGAGTCTTATTGATTAGCAACCTTTAAAACATGTTGATTTACAACTAAATATAAATTTTATGCCAAACTCCATCACTACCTTCCTCATGCCCACCCCTTCTTTCAAGCCTTTTCCCAGCACTTCTCCCTTCCCCCTTTAGCCCTCAGTGCCCTTACTCTCTCCTCTCCCAGCATCACCCTATCCCCCCTCCCACTGACACCTCCCCTCCTGCCCTTTTCCTCATTGTCTCCACTTGTTCCCATGGCATTTGTCTCTTCTCCACCCTGTCCCTTGGTGCCTTCCCCTTTCTTCTCCTGACCTGCCTCCCTCCCCTCAGCACAAGCCCTTCCTGTCCCACTCCTTCCCCCTATTTTCCTCCTTCCCTTCCCCCACCTTCTGCCTTCCAGTTTGTGGGGCTGGAGTCTGTGATCGGGCCCGAGAAGTCCCCGCAGCCTTGGCCCCAGCTGCTTCTGGGGCTCTAGACCACATGCCGGGCCTGGAGCTGAGCCGCGCAGTGCTAATTTTACTGAAGGCCCCGCACCAGCTTTGGGTCCCGTTAGCAGGAACATGAGTGTGGGGGGGGAAGTCCCCACCCCCCCAGATCTGCCATACAGAGCACAGCTGTGTAAGCGGGTCCGTACCAGAGGCATAGCGAGGGTGTTTTGTGCCCAGGAGCAAAGGCCTAATTTGTTACTCTGGATCGTATTATGTCCTTTTATAGAAACTTTGTATACTTTTACAGAACATAGAAACTTTGTATTAAGCCTTTTTACATAAAAACCTTGTATCTTGTAGACTTTGTACCCCCCCCCCCCTTTGCTAAACTGATTGTCCTGTTGAGTGAATAAGGTGTGAATTGATAAGGCATGAAGGAAAAGTATCTCTGGGCACTTGCAATGGTTGGAGAAAGTTGGAAGACAGATTCAAGAACAATAAGAACAACGGAACCTATGAAGTGGGCTCATTGAAAGAAGGCTGGACTTATGGATGCCTTGGGACTAAGCAGCAAGCGCCTGCTTTTGGAAGGTCCCTCTTTGAAAGTGAATGGGGGAGCATTGCCCCCCATGCACTCACCCCTCCTCTCCCAGAGCAAGGCACCCCCAGTGCCTGGGGGAGCACAAATGCTCCCCTACCCTCCCAGCCAAGCACCGGAGGAACATACCTTGAAAACCACTGCTCCGCCCACCTAGCTGGCTGCTTCAGCTGCAGTTTGGAGAGAGCCGCTCAGCCGCAGCAGCACTTAGCCAGCCGACAGCTCCTGGACCCAAGAGCAGTGTGCATTCTCTGGTCCCACCCCAGCCAGACACCCCCCCCCAGAGTAGCACCCGGAGGGCAGGGGCAACTGCCTCCCCGTCCCACTTCGCTACGCCTCTAGAGTGGGGAGGGGCGGGGGGGGGGGAGAAAGGGCCATGCAGAGCTAGAACTCCGGCAGCTGTTCCCAGGAGTGGTTTTCCGGGTTTATTCCCCTCCTCCTCCAGCAGCCACCAGCCGGCCCTTTGGCCAACGGCCCACCGGGAAATTCCCAGTATCCTGTCCCTGGGCCCCTTCAAACTGTAAGATGTTGTCATTGTTGAGACAATGATTAGGTTCTCTGTTGCACCTTAAGCAGAGAACTCTCAGGCCGTGGAAGGGATGATAGACAAAGATATTTTTAAGCCACCTTTCTGCCCTCTCTAATCTGAGCTACTCTCGGTACCAGTGCAGCCCCTGGTATAACTTGCAGCTGGGGCAGTAGCTTTAAGTTATGGTAACCTCTATGGGCTGTTCTATCCATGGTGACATTGCCAAGAATGGAGCCCTCCTGCCCCAGCAGATTCCTCTGCCAAACCCTGTGAAAATGACATTATTCAGAAGACAGCTTCGACCTTCCCATGCAGTGCCTACATCAGAGGAATTGTCCCTTTGCTGGCTTCAGAGCTCTTACGGTATGGGTTCCCAAACTGGCAGGGGGCGTGAAGAAATTCAAGGGGAGGCACAAGGTGTCCCAGCCCCCTCTCCCCAATCAAGTTTTGTTGCCCCGATCAGTTCGTGGTGATGTGTGGGTGATTTTTTTTTGTTTGGTTGGTTTTTTTTGGCTGCTATTTTGGGGAAGAGGGCGTGAGGGTTTCTCAAAAATCAAAAAGGGGGAGTGACGCTGAAAAGTTTGGGAACCATTTTCTTAAGGCATTTTTACTCTATCATGACAGCAGGTTAAATCCCTTGCCACAAATGTATCCTGGCTGCAAGGTTTTTTAAGATTCATTTTGTATTTCTTAAATGGTGTGTCTACCATTCCAGTGTTTCTTCTGAAGAAATTTGTATTAAAAGAAATTGAATTTTGGACTGCAGGCAAAGAAATCTTAGTGTTTAAAATATTTCTATAGTTTGAACTCAATTAACCCTGCTCCTTCAAATGTTATAGCTTGTATGGTCTCCATCAAGTGTGGTAACATTTCTCATTTGACCCAGTTAAGAAAAGTCTTCTGAATCAATTAAACTTTTCAGTTAAAGTTTTAAATTACACTAAAAGAATCTCTGTTGGGAACTGCTAATGTTTAAGAAACAGTATAAAGATTATAATTAACTCTACTTATTTATTTGGTCTTTCACTGAATCAATTTTTAGTTTTAAGTATATCAAATTTTAAAATTTGTGTGTGGTATTGGACTCCTAATTTCTTGTAAACAAATTGCACAAATTCCTTTACTTTAAGTGAATTAAAACCTCAATATGCAAATAAACATGATGATGCTGCAAAGCTCTTTAGCCCCTATCGGGGCAGAGGACAGCAATATCAGAGTTCCCCTGGCCTAGAGCCAGCAACAAGAACCATTGTTTGGTGCAGAGGAGGTGCCTGTATAGTTTGTGCCATGGTGTAATAATCACTCAGAAGTTCACTTTTAGATCCTCTGGTGTTTGTGTTTTTTAATTTTTACAGCTTGCCCAGGTTGATTCCAGAGCTGTACACCTTGGTTCTCTCTTCATTCGTGGACTTACAACTTTGATTATGGCCAATGGTGCCTGTGGTTTTCCATTGAATATGGATGATTTGATGCCCTGGAAGGTGTTTGATGGAAAACTTTTTCAAAAGAAATATCAGCAGTCACACAGAGGGTGTTCTTTGGACGAACTTTTGGAGGGCAATGTGAGTATATATGTATACCTTTCAAAAGTTATACATTCTTTCTTGAAAAGCCGTAGCCATCATCTACAAACATTTTTTTATTTTAAAAAGGAGGTTTTCACTGGTCTCATTTCATCACTTTCTGCTCCCCTCCCTTCCCCAGCCAACCTCCTCTGCCTGTGGCCCCATGCAAGTAAAATTCATGTTGAGGCTATTGAGGCCGTTCCAATTTTACTTTTATTATAGCTTTTTGCCACTTTAAAAATAAGAAGAAAATACAAAATTGGTCATCTGTTTAAAAAAATATGTTGCAATTTCTGATCTAACTGTAAAATTTTGAAAAGTACCTTAGGATTAGATTTTTTAAAGGTATTTAGATGCCTACAGATACAGATATTACATGCTTTTGTGAATCCCAATAGGTGCTTACCTGCATCTTTAGGCACTCAATTATCTTTGTAAACCTGACCCTAAGAGCCTAAATCACATTTTCAGAACTGATTTAGGCACTTGGGAGGCGAAGTTCCCACTGAAATTGTAAATTAGATTCTTCATTGCCTATGTCACTTTTGAATGTGGAAATTAAATTCCTAAATCACTTAGCTTTTGAAAATGTTACCTATTATCATGGGTGTCCACTAGCCTAAGTGGCATAAGTGTCTGGTGGTTTAGGCGAGGGAAGGCTTTGCCTTCCCAAACCGCCAGCCTGGCCCTGCCCACAGTCCACCCTCAGAACACCTGCTGGAGGCGTACTGGGGGTGAAATGCTGCCCCAGTGCCTGCCCTCCCCTGTTCTCCTGGCCAGGGAGGCTGGAACCACGCGACTGCCTCCCCTCTCCCAGTGCTCTGGGAGCTGTACTGTGTGCACACTCCCCTCATCTCTCTGCCCCTCGCCAGTGCTCCAGGGGAGTTGGGGAGCCCTCATTATGCTGTCCTGCCTCCTCCCCTCCCTGGTGTTCCTGGAGCTTGCTGCCCACATGCTCCTTTCACATCTCTGCTCCTCCCCAGTGCTCCAGGGAGGTGGGGGAGCATTTGGTGTGCTGCCCCACTTCTCTGCCTCTTCCTGGTGCTCCAGGTTGCTGGGATGTGCTTGGGCTCTGCCCCGCCTCCTCCCTCAGCAGAGGGGGCAAGGCTGTAGGTGGGGCTGGAGGCCACCTCCCCAGCCCCAGTTGTACCAGCTGCCCATGCTAGGCAGAGAAAAGCTTTGCCCTTTCCAAACTGCCAGGCATGGCCTCACCCACACTCCACCCCCAGAATGCCTACTATAGGCATTCTGGGGGTGGAGTGTTGCTGCCCCTAGTGCCCACCCTCCCTGCTGCTCCAGGCCGGAGAAGCTGGGGACGTGTGTTACCCGCCCTCCCTGTGCTCTGGGGGCCAGGGAGGCTCGGGCTGGCTCAGGCTGCGCAGCTTCCTCTCTCCTTAGTGCTCCAGGGGCTAAGGAGGCTTGGGCTGCGCAACCTCCTCTCTCCCCATTGCTCCGGAGGCTCAGGCTTTATGGCCTCCTCCCTCCCCGGTGCTCTGGGGACTGCGGAGGCTTGGGCCATGCAGCCTCCTCCCTTGCTGGTGCTACCATGGTGGTGGTGGGGGGCACACGCTCAGCATGCTGCCCCATCTCCTCCCCTCCCCATGGTGTGGGAGGAGCCTCTGCGGAAGGAGCAGGGTTGTAGGTGGGGCTGGGAGTCAGTCTTCCTCCCCCAGCTGCACTGACCTATCAGATTTCTCTTTGAAACCTTTTATATGATGTTCTTGCAAGTATCATATAGGATCATAATAAATTAGAGATTATTTGACTGCTTTTTCCATTTGCTTACTTAGTCCATTTGACAGCATTTTGCGTGTTGTCAGTTTTACTGGGGGGTTTTTTCTTTGTAGCCATTTAGGCCCCAATCCTGGAACTGATTATGTGGGATAGGTGGACTCCACCTATGTTAAACATGTTCCCAAACAGATACAGAGGTTTTCCCAAGCTGAGTCATTTGCAAGGTTGGATCTATAGAGCCAGGCCTCAACGATCGTGGCGAAAATCCACTCGCCAGCCCTGCACTGCACATGCGCGCACCGCCAGTGAACAGTGCGACTGGCTGAAATCTACTTGCCATGGGCGAGTAGATAAGTGGATTTGTCGAGCCCTGTATATAGCCTTATCCAAATCCCAATAAAGTCAATGAAATCTTTTTATTTCAGTGGGTTTTGGATTAGGCTGATAATTCCTCCTCTGGTTTGTTTGCTTCTTTCCCACAATAAATATATTAAATAGGAAAATATGAATTTAAATCTAAAAAAATTGTCAGGAGGTCCCATACAGGTGGTAGAACAGTTAACTTATGGTTTTTCTTTTGGGAAACTTAGTAGATTCCAAGTTAATGATGACTCATGCAAAGACTATCTAGGCAGTGATAAAAGATTGGTTTTTGTTTTGTTTTTAAAACTTGTCAGCTAATGTATTTTAACTAATATTTTAAACCCCTAGTGTAGTCAGGGCAAGTTGTATTTTAAACAAGTTTTAACTATTTGAGTGAACCCCATAAGAGAGCGGAAGGTTTGCCTTGACCAAAACACACATAAGGTGTGTATTCTTTTAAAACCTCCTTTTAATGTAGTGTAAACATTCCCTGAGTGGAACAGTTCTGTTGTGGAAAAATAGTCTAGACTCTTGAATTTTTAGAGTAGTTTGAATATCTTTTTCTTTTTTTAGTTACGATTTCATGTTACATATATGGCAGAGAGAGCTCCCAGACTAATAAAATAATTTTCCATATTTTCAGTTTTGAAAGGCCAGGATCTGTTTTTGAATGCATTCCCTAGAGTTTGGCTGTGGACATTGGCATTGCAACAAATTTACATGATTGGTTGTTGCTGCTATTATAAAGTTAGCTTTATAGTTACAATAGGTTCTTATTCCTGGCACAGCCTGATGTAGTGTGGGGAGCCAAGATCTTTCAGTACTTATTTCTTAGCAGTCTTCCCATGAGCATCATAAATGTGATCTACTGAGAGCTACAGCATTATATTCAGAAAAGTTATTCTATGGGTAATGTTCTGTGATTGAAAAGTGAAAAAGTTGTTCCTTTCACTGTTGCTCGCTACCTCTAAACTCCAGGTGCCACTTCTCTACCGGTGCTTTGAAATGGGTCCATGTAACTTGCAGGTTAGGAGATGCTGTCTGAAGCTGCGTCTACACTGCACACTTATTTTGGAATAAACTATTCTGGAAGAAATCATCCAAAATAGCTTATTTCGAAATAGTGTGTCTACTCTACAGGGAAGCCTGAAAATTAGTAATTACTTTGAAAGGCTGGGGAGAAGAGCTATTTCGAAATAGCAAGAGTGGAGCATCCACACTACTGCTATTCCAAAATAGCTATTCTGGAAGAGGCATTATTACTCGTGGAGTGCAGTTTCCAAACACCGAAATAAGCCGCCTGTTATTTCGAAATTATTTTGAAATAACGGGCTAGCTGTGTAGATGGTCACATAGCTAGTTCGGAATAACGCTACTGTGTAGACGTACCCTGAGTTATTTTGATCATAAAAATATAATTAAGTATAAGAACGGCTTTAAATAAACTACACTAGAAGTCCTTTATCAGGTTCATTCATAGCACAGCTTAGCAACTTCCTGAGCACTCTTAAGGGCCAATTCACACAGACTTGCACCAAAAGAGTAAAAGGTAGGAATTAAAATCAATTTAATTATTTTGTGCAGTTTTGTGTAAACTAGTCTTAAATGGTATCAGCAGCCATAATGGATAGCAATGGAAGGATAAGCCTTGGGCTTCTGTTACAGATAAAAACAATGTTTATTGATTAAAAAATAAATAAATTAAACTTATATTGGGCCTCTCTTTTCTTTAGCAGTTATCCAATTAGTTTGTTTATCCATACAGAAATTGGATATAATAACTTCATAAAATAGAGAAGCAATGATGATATCATTTAATTAGACTTTTTCTTGTGTGTCGCACTAATAAAGTATGTTCATTATTTATTTTTTAAAATTCACAAGGAGTTAACTGACAGATTCAGTATGCATTATGTTTTGTCCTTTTTCATCATTTTGTTGCTGCTTTTCAATCTGTCTTTCTAAGCACTTTCTGAGCTTCTTCTCCCAAGGATGTAGGGGGATATTTTTAGCATTACCAGTGTCAATCCACAGAAAGTTGTCAAATAAAGCTACAAATTGTGAATAAAACTGTATTGATAAGTAGATTTGTCAACTTTGAAACTTTGTTAGGAAAATTCACTAAAGCTTAGGGTGAGTTGTATTCCACCAGGACAGAGATTGTCAACCTTTTTAAACCAAAGAGCCAATCTAAATTCAGAACAAGTAGTCAACAAAGAGCCTTATAAGAATGCCCTTTTGTATGACTGAAAATATATAACTTAATATGATTGATAATTGACATAATGATTAATAATAGCATAAATGAAACATTGTACTCACAGACTTTATTTAATGGGACTTCTGCTACTGCATCTTTTTGCACATATTTTTGAAGTTTACATCATAACTGATCAAATCCAACTTCATGCACGCATTCATGCTGTCTTCTGTCAATCTTATGGAAAGGAGCTGGGAATGTGGGGAGGGGCAGGAGTCGGGGTTGGAGTGTATAAGGGGCTCAGGGCAGGGGATTTGGGTGTCTGATGGACTCAGGGCACAAGCTTGGGGTGTGGCAAGGGCAGGGGACTGGGGATGTACGGGCGCAGGAGCCTGGGGATGTGGGTATGCAGGAGTTTGGGACTGTGGGTTTGATGGGCTCAGGGCAGGGGGTTCAGGTGTATGATGAGCTCGGGATTGGTGGGGGGATGGAGATTGCAGGAGTGTTACGATGCTGAGGCCAGATGGGGGCTGGGCCCCAATTGAGGGCTTGTTGGCCAGGCTTCATTTTTAAATAAAGTAAAATCTTATGTCCAACACAGAAGGTTTCAGCATTTTCTTTATTTATGGCAAGAGTGGGGAACCTTTTTTGGGTCGGGAGCCACTGACCCACAGAAAAATCAGTCTGGGTCCACACAAGTGAGAAACAACAACAACAAAAAACCTCCTAAAACCCCCAGTCCTCACTGATGTGGCCCCCAACTGGAAACACCTCACTCCCCTGGTGCTCCAGCCCCATGGTGGGGAGAGGGCAGGGAGGACTGACATTCGAGGCCCCAGGCCAGATTTACTCTTTTGGGGTTCCAGGGTTAGTGAATTTTGTGGGCCCCCCAGGCTCTGGGGTAGGGCCAAAAATGCAGGGTTAAGTGTGTGGGACAGGGCTGCCAGTGAATGGGATAGGGATGGGAGTGTGAGGTCTGGATGGGAGGTAGGGTGCAGGCACAGGATGGGAGTAGGGTGTCTGGATGGGGAGAAGGGACAAGAGCAAGGATGGGGGCAGGCTGTCTGGCCATGGGGTAGGAAGCAGGCTGAGTGCAAGGTGTCTGGCCAGGGGGACGAGTGAAGGGGTGGGGGTGTAGGGTCTGGGCATGAGGAGGTGGGGGGACACTTGTTTTTGCACCATGTAGCAGGCACTGTGTAACATGGCCTCTTGCTGCTCCCATTCGCCAGAAGAATGCCTCCAGGAAGTGTGTCCCGAGGAAACAAAAAAGACAGCACATGGAGCCATTTTTCACTCCACATGTTCCCCGTATGCTGGATCTGGCGGGGAGGCTCGGGACTTTCTTCCCCTGCATCTTCCCCCAGGAAGCTGGCACTGGTGTTCCAATCTTGCGGGGACTGGGGAGGGGATTATACTGTAGTGCCAGTGCTGGCTCCCTGCTACAGTAGGAAATGGAGGGGCTGTGATGAGGCTCCAGAAGAGCAGTATCTGGCTCCCTAGTGAGCCATATTTTGCTTGTGAGCCATAGGTTGCCACCCCATGCACTAGAAACTAATTAAACCCCTCTAGTTAGCAGACATCTTGTCAACCTTTCAACCTTGTCAAGTACTAGCAATTTAGATCTCATTTTAGGCTACTTTTGTCATTCAGAAGTGTTAAAATGACCCCTTCAAATCTTTGCCAGCAAGTACAGCTGTGAACAGAGCTTTGGCAGAATGAGCATTCCCTTACCGACAAAGCTAAAGCTGCTTATTGGGGGTGGAAGTATTTTGTTGGCAAAAGAGCCAACAAACAGTGGCTATGTTGCCAAAATTTTAGGAGCATGGCTGTAGCACAGCAGTTTCACTAAAAGCTGTAATGTGTAGACATATTCTTAGTTCAGGGGAAGGGAGCCTATGGCCGGGAGCCGCACATGGCCCCTGACTTGCCTGGATTAAGCCCCCAAGGCTCAGGGCTCCCCCCAAGCATCAGGGAAATGGCTTTGGCCCTCAAGCTATGCGTCCCGTACTTCTCGCCCAGACTCCCACCCTACTTCTTGCCCAGATTCCCACCCCAAGCCTGCTCCTGCACCCTACCACTCTGCCAGACACACCAACCCCTAGCACATTGCTGCACCCTCACTCCCACTCAGACACCACACCCCAAGCCTGCTTTCCAGCAGCCCCTTCCCTCATTTTTTGCCCTGCCCTAGAGCAAGGTTTCCTCTAAGCTGCATGGCAGCACAGTCCAGTAGCTCTTTAATGAGCCCTGCCTAGGAACTCAAGGTTACCGTGCATGGAGCTGCCTGGCTCATGGAAGGGCACATCTCCCTCAGCTACAGTAGCAGCTCCCTTCTGAGGACAGAGCAGTGAGTCTCTCCCAGCTGATAGGGACACATCCCCTCCTTACCTGTTGGGAGAGACTTACTGCTCTGTCTTCAACAAGGAGCTTCTACTGTAGCTGAGGGAATGTGGGAAGTGTCTTTCTGCTTCTCTTTAAGGGGCCATGTCAGTGGGTTTTTTTGTTTGTTTTGGGGGGGGGGTTTGCTTCTCCTTTTGTGCAATCCCTGACTAATTTTTTTTCTGTGGGTCAGTGGGTATATGCAACCACACTTAAGCTGCGGCCCTTGGCATGTGATGTGCTGTGAGTAACATTGTGGCCCCTGGGGCTTCCAAAGTTGAGTCGCCCAGGCCTAAGTTATTGAAGCAATTGTTATCCCAGTGCAAATCAGTTCAACTTTGTGAGAATCAGCAGATTAGCTTATAGGCAGAGACTCCCCAGCCTAGCACTCCTACCAGCATTCCAAAAATAAAAATTAATAGGAGTAAGTTATTAGGACCTGATCATGTCAAGGTGTCTGCAAATCCCTTTTGAATCAGTGGAAGTTCAGGAAATGCAGCACCTTGCTGTATAGGTGCTGTAGTTAAATAACTTATTTGCCCTGTGGACAATTGGACTTCTCCATCAAAGGATCCATTGGATCAGAACAAATCAAAGCTTTTGGCTTATGTCCCTTCTTCTATGTTTAGTCTAGGTAGGTTATATTCTGTCAATCAACAAATATCTAAAATATGGCTGAAGTTATTCTGCCAATGTTTCTTGGGTTATATGAAGTAAAATGTGCAGACTTGATTCTCACTGATTCAGTTTCTTTCACTGTAATGAACACATGCATCTATTCATCAGGCCTTATCAAGTCGTTTTAGCCATGGTTCCTTAAGGTAAGGCCTAGTCAGGTGTGTCTGTAGAGGCAAGTCAGTGTGATAGAAAGCAAGGGCTGCAAAGTAATTTACAGAGATGAGTAGAGCAAGAAAATTGAACTTCATTAAAAAAGGAAGGAAACAAATATCCCCTTTCTTCCCTGTACCCCAAGAACCCTCTTTCATTATGGAATATTCTGAGCTTGGTTCTTAAAAAAATGACAAACCAAAAGAATATTGCAAGGCAGGACAAGCCAAATTCTTTTGTTTTTTGGTGTTATAGTGTTGCTATTCTTGAAAAAAGAAAAAGAATCCTACCATAGTAATTGATTTAATTCCATTGTCTGCAGGGATCTTTGCACATGCAGTTCCAGAATCTGAAGTCACTCATTTGCAAGGCTTGCACAGTAAAGAAGAGAACAATTCAGAGCAGACAACGAGGGAATGAATTTATCACAGGTTGGAATCATGTTAATTTTACCAGTAAACCCACCATATTGATTATATCTATTACTTTTCAACAATCCCTTAGGCAATTTGTCAAATAAGTCCAGGGAGAACTTGCTGATGCTAACTGAAGGAAGAATTTGAGTCAAAGCTTCTGATTTTAGAAAATGTCATTATTTCCTAGATTTAGGGGAAATAATATTTCCATCCAGTTACACGGCTAATAAAATGTATGTATGTAATAAATACAATAATGATTACTGTCAGAATAATGACTATTCTTGTTCTTACAAACAAAAGCTATTTTGTTCTGTAGTAATTAGATGACTCAAGATTTCCCATTCTGCTTTCAGGAAGTGTTCTTCAGGGTAACAATATTGAAGCGTTTTGAACACACATTGGTATTTTTTTCACAGTTCAGTCTGTGCATGCTGATGTTTCAAAATGCTTTGTAATTATTCTCAATTTAAAGCTTATAAGTTGGCATCAGTTTTAATAACAATTGATGCATTTCAAAGTGCTGTTGCTGCACAATTACTTAGCCTTTGTTGATGAAATGCAGATAATACAAATGGGCATGATTCCTTTGATCTTATTTGTTATCACCCAACAAGAGAAAAGATTTAATCAAGTCTCAAGCTTTTGATCATATTTATTCACAAATGTAAGAAGAATCCTTTCTTTTCCTCCCTACCCTTTGTTTCATGTTGTCTTTGTAAGTGGATGGAAGCTTTTTGATAACCTTTAAGTGTATGGGATTGTTAGATTTCTGTCATTCCTCAGTGCTGGCTGCATTGGATTTTTTTTTTAATTGGTACATCTCTTACCTCCATTGCCACATTGGCATTTGGAGGTACATGGTTTTCAAAGACCTGATACTGTTTATAGAATAAAGGGTATATGAAATGTATTAAGATATCCATATTAGAGCCTTTAATCAATGGAGCATTAAACTGGATTAGCATCCATCATGACTTGTGGATTCATGTTGAACTGTTTTCAGTTTTATTTAAGGCTCCAGCATGGACAAAGTTGTTTGTGTGTTTTGTTTTTAATATATCTATCTTAAACCACCATAGAGTTTCAGTGTGGTTTCTGAAGACTCTTACACAGTTTGTAACCAGGATCAGTGTGTATAGAAACTGAGCTGTGCGTGCATGCACAGAACTGTAGGTAGTTATGTTAAGTATGAAAGGGAGAGTGCTAACTATTTATTTGGAAGAATCAAAATTCCGCATGAATATTGTGGCATATACCTATAAAATATTATTTCCAAAAAATGCAGAATATGGTTTATATGTTGTTCGTGAAATTGTATATATAGTCAATATCAAACTGTTAAATATTGTTCCTTAGAAATGCAAGGAGGAGGAAGGGGTCATGATTTCCAGCAAGCGCACGCAACTTATTTCATTCCACCACATCATACTCAGAACAGGGGATTCCAGAGGAGAGGCGCTCAACCTTACTTTCATGGGTCTGAGGCCCAACCTTCTGGTAAAAAATCAATATTAAAAAAAATAGATTTGACACTGCAAAAGGTATATGACTGTCTGTGCCTAAACATATATCATGTATATTGTACATTATAGGTATGATCCTGCACCCATAGTAAACAATGACAAAACTCCACTGTATCAATGAGATTTGTGAAATAGTATTAGTTGAAGCTAAACCTACAAACTGCATATAGAGTTCTATTATGACCCAGTGTGTTCACTCATTTGTAACTTTTGGAAAAATTCTTCTGCAGGGCTGAAAATTCTCGTGTTTGGTCTCAGAATTGTTTTAGAAAGTTTGTGGTTTTTAATTACCACAGTAGCATAGAAATGCCCAGCTAACAATCAAGTAAAGGACATGAGTACATGTTTAATGTTAAGATCTAAAGGCAAGCTGAGTTCTTTCTTGGTAAGAGTTGACCATAAATCACTCACCAGCAACACCTGTTGGTTTAACACAAGAGACATTTAAAAGAAGCTAAGGTCAGTGTCCCAGATGAGAAACAAGAAGGTGGGAAAATGTGAAGGTCAGAACGAGGCATCTGTGTGGAGTTTGGAGAAACTAAGCATAGGAAGAGGAAAAATAATCCAAAGCAGATTACTTATTTTCTGTTTTTTTGGGGTTGCAGAACATCAGTGTAACCTTGAGTTATTTTCTACATTTTTAGTTTTGCTTTCTAAAGACATTTGGTGAAGTGACTTGTAAAAACAAAACAAAAATCTAAACATTTAAATGCAGTTGGTCTCCTTGTGGGCCCAGAATAGACAATATAATACCTATTATTAGACTGACAAACTGGTTTGGCATAGTCTGTGTAGGTGAGGCCAAAATATATGACTTTGCTGAGTAACTTGATTATAAACAGAATCAAAACTGAACATCTGTCGTAATGATTCTGGTCTAGGAAACCTGTAAGGCAGGATCCAGCTACACAAGGAACTTACTGCAAAATGTATTCCACAATAACAGTATTGGATCATGTAAGAACATGATTCAGTAGCATTATTAAAACCCAGTTTGGCCTTTTCTACAGAGCTGAAATCAAACTATGTTATAACATACTCAGGAGACTATTACAACATGATTCTTCAGTGTAGTCAGATTTCCTGTGTATGTGTAAAATAGGTTAACTAGAAAAGTGAGTGAAGGGTCTGGTGGAAAAAATAGTATGAGATTGTGTAAATAATGACTCAAAGCGAATGTTCAAAAGTGGGGATTGGGAGCAGAATTGAGGTCATATATTTCCTAACTTTTCAGTGCTTGTCTTTGCAATTTTATTGTGTGCGTGTGCGTGTAAAAAATCACAAACAACAAATTTCATCATGTGGTCTCATAATGACACCCACATGGGCCATAAGCAGAGTTGGAACCTTTGGTTCCACCACTCTCGTCTCTGCCTCTTGAGCTAATGGCACATCAATAACAATAGCAGGTTGTCATTCTATGTCTGGAACATCATGAGAGGGATAAGATATACATTTTGTCAGATAGATTTGGTGGCAGCAGAGAAATAGTGAGACTCAAGAATGGTGGGTGCCATTCTAGTATCTGGGGGACTGAAGGAAATGCTCCTGTTCCTTTCCCTATCCAGGCTTCTATTTCCAGTCCCAGTCCCATTCCCATTCTCCTTACCTACCCAGTCCCAGTCCTCAGGCTTCTTTTCCCTGTCTTTTCCCCTAGCCAGCTCTGGTCTTCCTTTCCAAACTCATTGGCCATGTCTACACTGCAGGCTTCTTGCGCAAGACCTGTTTTGTGCAAGAGGTCTTGCGCAAGAGCGTGTCCTCACTGCCATATGCTTTTGCACGAGAGTATCCATGGCAATGTAGACACTCTCTTGCACAAGAAAGCTGTGATGGCCATCTTAGCCATAGGGGTTTCTTGCACAAGAAACCCCTCTTTCTTCTTCGAGCAGTGTCCCGTGGGTGCTCCACTATAGGTGTCGGGCTCGTCCCGGCGCCGCAGATCGGAGAATTTTTGTAGTCATAGTCCGTCGGACTGCACATGCGCGAAGCGCGGCTCGTGCTCTTTCGCACCGTTTGTGTTCGCACGGTCCGGCTCCCACCAGTTCCTCCTGACCGTCCTCAGCCGCGGACGGAATACTGGTTTCTCCTCAGACTCTGAGAGAGAGAAAGAACCTTTAGGATTTAGTTAGATTCGTTCATAGTTAGTTCTTCAGTTATATAGTTACATTAGTATTAGTCGTAGTCGTTAAGTTAAAAAAAAAATATTTTTCTTCAGAAGCTACCTGTAAATAGTTTCTACTGTAAATAGTTTTCTTCTTGACTCCCATCAGAAGAAGGCAGAGGTGACCATGCCGGGTTCTCCCGGTTTTAAAAAGTGCAGCTCATGCCGTGAAGCAATGCCTGCCTCCGACGGTCACGCTCTCTGCATCTGTTTGGGTGAGGGGCACATACCCCAGAAGTGCCCTCACTGCTCCAAACTCACCGCAAGAGCGAGGAAGGACAGGGACATGAGGCCCAAAATTGCTCCTCTTCGATAGGGTATTACAGCCACAAGATGGAGCAACTCCCGGATCCCTCCCTGCTCCCTCAGCCGAGCCGTCCCCAAAGAAGGCGAAGAAAAGACCATCGCCTTCTCGTTCCCTTCCCCCGACGCGTATTAGGGTGGGGGACAAACCTGGTACCTCGGGCGTGCATGGCCCTTCTAAGACGAAGCTCGGCCGCAGTACCTCGGCGCCGCAGCCCACGACTATCCAGGCACCTAAGTCATCGTTGGCACCGAAGCCGTTCCCGACACCGGCGTCACATGCGGCACCGAGAACACCCTCCACACCGCCCACAACTGCGGCACCACAAGCGACCCCGACGCGGACCACTCCTACGGCACCGACTTCCATCTCGGCACCGAAAGAACCTCTGGCACCGAATGTGTCACCAGCACCGCGTTGCCCCCCGGCACTGTCAGATGTTCGGGCAGCAAGCCCTTCCCTGGCACCGAGTAATTCACCGGTGCCGAGCGACTCTTTGGTGCGGGAACTCACTCCGGCTCGGGAGTCTGTTCTCCCACAATGTTCTCCGCCTCCTGACATGGCACCATCGGCACCGATTGAAGGAAATGCGCAACCTGAACAACCTTCTTCAGGGCGAACTGCTTTATCCACGCACCGAACATCGAGGAGAATCATTACACCTTCTCCATGACCAGAAAACATCCAATTTTCACCTGAACCGCCTTCCCCTTCATCAGGACTCTCTCCCCAATCTGAGACACTCGCAGAGGGTTTACCACTCTCCACGTGTCTCGCCAAGACGCCGTTATCACCGGTCACCTCCACCGACCCTTATGATCCAGAGAACGATCTCGATCTCCCAGGTCTCCATCACACTCCCGGCGCTATGGGTATTATACCTCTCACAGATCCCGTTACTATTCCAGTTCTCCGCACCGCTCCTCATATTATCATAGGTCACCGGAACACCGTTATTATAGGCACTACTCTAATTTTCAACATTCCTCGGTGTCCTACTCTCCTCGTCGGTCACACACACCACCCAGCAGGGAGTGTCAATCCTTACCAGCAACAGCCAGACCACCAACTCCATCAGGTGTCCTGCCCCCCCAACCACCCGAGCCACAGGTGCTCCTACAACATACCACTGAGGATGAGTCTCAACATCAATCTCCTACCAACCAATCCTCTTCCTCGCCTGATGATGCTGTATTTCAGGAATACACATCTCTGTCGGACGACCTCCGACAGTTTCAAGACCTTTTCAGAAAAGTGGCAGTATCACAAAAAGTACAGATTGTGGAAGTTCAGCAGAAATCCCACCATTTGCTTAGGAACCTTCATCCTTCACAGCAGGTGAAGGTGGCTCTCCCATTGGACGATGGCATTCTGGAGATTGTTGATGACATATGGCAGTTGCCGGCTTCTGCACCAGCCACCAACAAAAAAGCAGACAAAAAAATATTACGTTCCGGCGAAAGGGATGGAGTTTCTTTTCTCTGTCCTGCCCCCCCAACCACCCGAGCCACAGGTGCTCCTACAACATACCACTGAGGATGAGTCTCAACATCAATCTCCTACCAACCAATCCTCTTCCTCGCCTGATGATGCTGTATTTCAGGAATACACATCTCTGTCGGACGACCTCCGACAGTTTCAAGACCTTTTCAGAAAAGTGGCAGTATCACAAAAAGTACAGATTGTGGAAGTTCAGCAGAAATCCCACCATTTGCTTAGGAACCTTCATCCTTCACAGCAGGTGAAGGTGGCTCTCCCATTGGACGATGGCATTCTGGAGATTGTTGATGACATATGGCAGTTGCCGGCTTCTGCACCAGCCACCAACAAAAAAGCAGACAAAAAAATATTACGTTCCGGCGAAAGGGATGGAGTTTCTTTTCTCTCATTCTCAACCGAATTCTCTGGTTCTCTTTCAACAAAGAACGAAGGGCCCGAGTGTCCCGGACAGGGACATGAAACACCTAGACCTCTTTGGACGAAAGGTCTACTCGTCTGCTACCCTTACACTCCGGATGGCAAATTATGCGGCGCTATTAGCTAATCATAGCTTTGATAACTATGCCAAACTAGCGCCCCTACTGGAACATCTACCTGCGGGCAAAAGGGAGGTCCTTAAAGCAGTGGTCCAGGAAGGCTATACAGCTTCCAGAACAGCTCTCCACATAGCTCTGGAAATGGCTGACACCACAGCGCGTACCACAGCTACATCCGTGGTCATGCGCAGGGCCTCGTTGCTGCACCAGGCGGCAGTTCCTAAAGACCTTCTTGCCAAAGTTCTGACAAAACTGATCAGGTGCTTCATTCGGGTAAAGACTCTAGAACCACACTCAAGACTCTGGGCATGTATACTCCTCCCTTCCATCGGAAAAGGTATACTCCATATCAGAGACAGAGATCATTCACCTTTCAGCCATCCCAATACAGACAGCAGGACCAGCAACACAACCGGCAGCGACAGCAGAAGAGAAGACCTCAGCCAAAAACATCTGGCCGTCTAAATGCCAAG